AGGCCTGCCCTCCCTCCAGTCTCACACCAAAGAGTCACCACCTGCTAAAACCTTTCCTCTGCTCCTGCATCACCGTTCCATTTCTGGACCAGGCAGCAGCCTCCAACTGGCCTCCCTGCTTTCTTCCTGTTAATACATTTTCCCACAGCAGCCTGTGGTATTTACAAATGCAGTCAGATCAATTAACATTTCATGTTAATAGAGTGAAAGTTTATAGGGCACTAGTCCATGTGCCTTGCCAATGCTTCACACCCACTGCTTCTTGCCATAACCCTGCATATGGACTCCAGTGGCCCCCACTGTCCTCAGTTTACCCCACTGCTCCTGTTCCTGTGCGACCACAGGGGTAGTCTCTCCAGTCCCTCCTCTGCCCTTGCCTCACCACCATGCATAGCCAGAGTGAGCTGCTCTCACCCCTGCCACCAGCTCCACGTGGCTCTCTGAGCTTCTTGCCTTTGCACCTGCAGTTTCCTTGGCCCCACACATACTTCCCCTTACCAACTGACTGACTCTTAGCCATCCTTGAAGACTCAGCTCAGGTATCGCCCCCTCCAGAACCCCTTTCTGACTCCCTGCAACACACAGCCCCTTCGTTATCGCAATCTGCTGTACTGGCCGGTTTCCCGGTCCTTCCCTCCCAGAAGAATGCTCCCGCCTGGAGCATACACACGGCCTGGCACAGTGGGGATCAATCACTCCAGTAAATGAATGAACCACAGAGCCGACAGTGTAAGCAGGCCAGAGCGAGCCGGCAGTTGAAGGACGCCGTGGGCCAGCCATTCATTGTCTCATTCAACTCGAAGCCCCCCACCCGCCACACTCACTGGAGCGCAGCAGCGCCGCTGCCCCCGGCGGTGCCCAGCCCAGGGGGCGGGGAACGGGAAGGGGCGGGGCTCGGGCGGCTTCTCCGGAACCCAGAGGCAGAGCCGGGCCAAAGGGCTTGCTGGGTGCCTGGGTCTGGAGACTACAGCTTTTCTTTCCCGACCGCACGTCACTCACAGTAATCTAAGTCTCCACAAGGCCGAGGCCTGGCGCCACCAGGTCCCGGGATCCCGCACGGGCCGGGCCAAGCCGACCCGAGGCCCCAGCGATCCCGAGGCCAGCGACCTCCGCTTCCCGCACGGTAGCTTCAGGGTAGTCTCGGCGCCCGGCCGCCCTGCCTTTCCCGAATCCCTCCCGCCAGCGGAGGCCTCCCGGGGCCGTGAGGCTGCTGCCCTCCCCGTGCCCGTGCCCAGCGTACCCACCAGCTCGGCTC